GTCTATAAGGTGTAAGCAAATAAAGGAACTATACTCAACTGGACTGTTGTTCTTGGGCTGGGCCTGACAACAGCACACGTTACACCTCTGCTCTGCGAGCTGCATTTGTTGCCAGTTTGCTTCCAATTCAAGGTACTGGTTTTAACCTTTAAAGCCCTTCATGTCATGGGACCGGGTTATCTGAGGGACTGCCTCTCCCTGATTATATCAGCCCACCCCTTTAGATCCAGCAGAGAGGGCATGCTGCGGATACCATCTGCCAGGGATCTACGTTTGGTGGGTCCCAGCTGGCAGGTGGATATCAGAGGAACAAATGCTTGAAGAAAATATGTGTTCTGTTTATGCTGATAAGGTAAAACCTATACATAAGAGTGGCATCTAATACAAACAGAACATTATGTTAAAAACCAGCCATCATGAATTTCCCATCAACAAATTCGCATCTATCATTTGGCTCTCTCTGGCCATCTCACCTAGCCTATGGTTCTTCTCAGCAATAAACGCAAAGAGAATTGAGTGTCCCTACCCAATGTATAGTATTGCTCAGGCTAGAAAGAAAACATGTTTATCTGACTAGAGATTCTTAGCTTCTTTGATCATCTTGATGTTAAAAATAATGAAAGTGATTAGAAATTAGCTGCCCATTTGAATAACCTTCTATTTAAGCAGCAGTTAAAAATAATAGGCCATTCCCTTATTTGTCCATGTTTTACACCCACTCTGAGATGAGAGGAAGAAACCCTAAGTTTAGATTGAAGATTGTGTCTGATTAAAGAAATTAAGGTTTACTTAGGTGTGTACTGACACAAATGCAAACTTCAATGTGAAGAAAAATGACAGAACTGCCTAAAATCTGGTCTACTGCTTACAGATGAGTTAAAATCCCAAAAGAAAATAAAATGCTCCAGGCAGAACACAGGATGGCAATGGCCTACTATGAATTGAAAGCTCTCTCAGAATCTCTGTAAGGATGCTGGAGAGACTTCAGATGACTATTACAAATCCTGCATAGTTTTAAAAGAAATGTATGTATGTATGTATGTATGCATGCATGTATGTATGTATGTATGTATGTACTGTATGTATATTACACTTGAACCCAGCCCAAAGTAAGAATAGAAGCTGAAGCTGAACACCCAATGTCATAAGTTGCATGGGGAATAAAAGATAGAAGTATAAATACAACAACAAACAGAAATATAAAACTCTAATGCAAATTCTTGGCTATATATTTTACCTGCTTCTACATAAACAGAATCATTTTTAAGCAAAGTTCCTCTGCTTCCTTTACCTGGATCTCCCCCAGCTTCTTGAAATAGTCTGGTCACTTATCAGAGGCTGTTGGAAGATGGAAGCCCCATTCCTTACCAAGCCTCTTTCCACAGATTTATCCTGAGTTTTGCCTTTTGTTTTAAAACAACCATCCTTTTTCTGTCTTCAGCAGAGGGAGGGGCTGGTGTATGTTGCTATGTACATGACCCAAAATATATCTCCCTTGTGGGGAAGTGGACTGACAGTCTGGTATAAGGGGCTATAGTCACAATGCCCCTGCTTAACAAGTTACTTTGCTTGCTACAAACACCATTTCAGAAAAAGACATTTAAAGATGATACATCACAGTATTTCCAAATGAAAACCAATCATTAACTTCACACTTTAGAAATGCACAACATCAGAATAAAAATATACCAAAGCCTGACAAGTAGTGCTATACAGAAGAAATGACCAGTGAAAAGAAACTTGGTTACTATTAATATTTGATGCACTTTTTATTTGATACCATTTACATAATTGGAGTCATTTGAGGCTATTAATGGAAGAAAAAAGTTTATCTTCTTACAAACTTAAATATTTAGAGAAATCACTGATACTATTCGCATTGGTATTGCCATAAGAGCTGATGAAGAAGATTGTTTTTAAAACACAATGAATTCCTTGAATCTTGAGTTTCCTAAAGCAGTGAAGGTTCAGAAAAAAGGAGTTGTAGAAAGAAAAAGATAGTCCCCCCCAGATGAACTGAGCCACAACTTTTCCTGATTCCCAAGCAGTTTGGATTTGGCTAGAAAAGAAGTTGTTCCAAAAAAACCCAAAAAACACTAGTTATCTATGCCTCCTGGATGAGGAAGACTGTTTCATTGTATAATCTATATTGGTATAAAGAGTGAAACATCATCTCTGCTTGATTAAAAGTGCTCTTTGAATGTGTTTCCCTGGATATTTTCACTGAACCTACGTCATGAAATAGAAGTATATGTAGTGTTTCACTGAGAAGAAATGGCCATAGTAAGTATAAAATGGTTTGCATTCCAACTCATGTGAAAATGCTATAAATTCATTTTCAGATCAGTGTTAGATAAATTGAGTTACTGTTTTAATCCCAGGCAATTTTGCAACAAAAATCTGTCATAACAAATTTCTGATATGGCCATTTCTTTTCAGCACAATATACAAATTAATATAGAATCCATCAACTTTTATTTTTCTTTAAAGTGAAATGAAAATACATAGTTAGCAATCTGTTTCCTGATAATATATGGAATATATTAATATGGAATCACATATAAATTGTAGGGATGACTTTTGGAGGTGGGGGAAAACAGACCTCTTCAATCTATATTGCTCCTGAACATTATCTTTTACAATCTTTCTTCCCAATTCTATGATTCTCTTTTTCATTTCTTTTAGCCCAATGCAGATTGCGTAGATGACATCCCTCCAGATTTTGAAGCTTCTATAGGAGGGCCACCAACCAATCAGATTACAGGAGCTAGTGACATAACTGTGAATGAAAGCTCTATAGCAATGGATCCCCCTATCCGGACAGTTGGAGTATTACAAGTTATCCAGGATGCAAATCCTCTTCCACAGGCTGGGGAAAGTAACAACACCACAAGCAGTAAGTTCCCATTGATCACTTTGCTTTGAAAAAAATGTTACAGATGTGATTCATAAAAGTATCTATGGTGGCTCTTCTGAAATATTTTCAGTTAGTTGATCCTCTGCATTCCAGTTGGAAAACAGTTCATTAAACTGGAATTTTCATAGGGGATTATAGTACAATTCATTTTTTTCTGATATTAATTCAAAACCAAATCTCATTAGTGGCATGGAACCATAGGATCAACATGCTCAGTACATGATTGTTGATTGGCTGTGATCATGCTGTTATATTGGAGAATAATGCTTTAAGGAAGAGATGGGAATGGAGAGGTTAAATAACTGCATTACATACCAAATACTGCTTGGTTTTCTTTGCTCCCACAAATACTATTTTCACATACTCATAAAATTCAATAATGAATTTTCTGCATGGTCTTATATCTAAGACTTATATCTGATATAACTCAGTCTTGATTTGAGAAAATAAATGTTTGGAGTCCTTGATATATACCTTCTTGGAGAGAAAAAAGGTTTTGTCTGACCTGTGAGCTGTAAGCCCTATGCTTTCTGACACTTATTCTATGTTCTTCTGGATAGCTCCGGAAACGAGTTGCAAATATCTGGAATTTGCAAATACTTTCTGCTAACTCCTGTCCTCTTCTAATCTTGCTGCTGCAGATTTACTGTTTTATATGCCATGAGGGAACACAACTAAGCTGGAGCTTTCAGGCTGCAGTAGGAACCTCAGTTTCAGCAATGTTTATGCTTCCAAATTTGACCATTAAAAAATGCAGTTCCAGCAACCATAGCAGTTGTCCAAAGGTTCCCGCTCTCCCTTTATCTATTATATTCTATCATTACAGTTCCCAGCAAGCTAGTTAGTCTCATAACACTGTGTTAATTCAAGCACCCTTGATCTGCCCTTACCAATATTAGTTTATAACCATTCTTGATCATCTGCCTCATCTTTCCAGATACCTATTATAAGTTACGTTTTTTGTCCATATTCTTTTGTGACGCTTGTGAAATATTTTTAAAAATAGATTCCACTGTCATACATCAGAGCAGCAAGGTATCAACAGTGTGACAAGAGTTGTGATATTGGTTAAAATTGGGACTGTTTGTAATAGTTTGTAATGTTCATAGCTTAAGAATTGCGACAGGTTTTTGTAACTACCTGATGGTCTTCTGCATCCCTGACCAAGGAGAATCCAGTATCTCCCAACATATGTTGGAGAAAATAGAAATGTAAAGGGAACGTTAATATCAAACATCAAAACTGCCTGTCCCCGGAACAACTTGGTTATGATTCAAGTCAGTAATGAAAGACACATTTTGGCAGTGAGAAAGCTTCACCAATATTCTATTTTGGTAAAAGTTTAACTGTGTTTATTTATTTATTTATTTATTTAAGGCAGGGCTGCAAAACTGATTTTCAAATAGAGGAACAACCTGGGCCTTTAATTAGACCACCAGGGCTATCAGCCAAAAAGTGGGAAGAGTCAGGATAAGTAAGTGGTGCAGTTAAATACAGTTAATAGGATTATTTACTACTTTCCCTATCTTTCATATACAAATATTATAATTTCACGGCTTCTGTTGAATGGGATCTGAGGACCAAACCCAGGAGTTTGGCAGGGCTGCTACACGGAGTCCTGAAATAACCAGATTTACATAGCTGATTTAAAGCATTTACAGGTAGTCCTCATTTAGTGACCACAATTGGGACTGGCAACTTGGTTGCTATGTGAAACTGCAACTGTGCTTATGATCTTACTTCAGCTTTCCTTTGCTTTATAGACCTTTGAGACAATTGGTCATAAAGTTACTTCTTCATCACTGTCATAACTGCGAATGGTTGCTGTACGGGGCAGTTGCTAAATGAGAACTACCTGTACCTACTGTCCAGCCATAAACACTTCCAGAGCACTTTAAAGATCAACAAGAGATAGTCTCTTTCTTCAGGCTTAAAATCTAAAAAGAAACATTTAAAAGGAAAAAAGAAAACTAGAATGCTCAATGTTATCTGGAATTTATAATAACAATCGGTAAAGCTTTAATTCATTTGGAACATCTTGCTCGTCTTAGGTCTTCCCATGAATAGCTAGAATTTAGAGGGCTGAAAGAGTGAGGGAGCTTAAAATGGCTGTGGCCCAGCTTCCTGTTTGTCCCTCTGCAACTGGATGAGGCAGGAGGTGCTGGATGAGAGTTGAGGAAAGGCAAAATCTGATGACGCTCCTTTCTCAGGAGGACCGATTGTGAGCCCGTTCTGTGAGCTACTGTTTTATGAAGGATTATTTGGTGAGGCGCTTTAGTTCTTTGCAGTTAAAGTTTATTCTTTCCAAAGCTGCATATTAGAAATGCTGTGCTTTAACGCCAGCAAACATTTTAATTTTTAAACTGCCAGAGTTTGTTGCCTATTTACAGTGCTCGGAGTTCAGCACAGGTCATTGCCCTTTTAAAATATCAACTCAAGAGTTCATCCACTTTCTATTCCTGCTGATGTCGTCATGACATAGAGTTGGTTCCATCACAGTGAGATTAGAGGTTATAAGTGTCGGGCTACAGGCCCCAGGTGTCAGATTCTTTCAGAAAGTCCTTCCAATCTATATAGAGTTATAATAGTAGGATTGTTAGATGGAAGCCATTTAGTTCCCCTGAATGGAAGTCCAAATATGTTGCTTTTTAAGACACTCTGCATAAAACTAAAAAGCCTTAAAACTATAATTTCAGTGGTTTCAATGGTTGCGGTGGTTTTGCTTTTCAAAGGGAAAAATCCTGTTGAAATCCTGCTTTGGAATTTCTTGTTCTTGCTATCCCAGCTGTTCACATGATTAATAACATTTCCATGTGGAAAATAAATTTTTAAAGGAAAGCCTATTTTTAGATTTTTATAAGAAAAGCTGAAGTAAGGAATGCAAGTGGTTTTTTAAAGATAGTCTTAAATTATTTGGCACAAGAAAATATAGCTTAAAAAAACTGTACAAATTATTTTTTAAAAAAATGATATTGAATGTGGCCCAAAAAACATTTTTTTTAGGATCATCTCTATGTAATCTTCTCATAATGGTATTCTCCAGATGTGTTAATAAATAACTTCCAAAATTCTAAATCGGATGTTGGCTGGACACTCTGGGAGTTGTAGTCTTAACATCTGGAGAATGTCAGGTTGGAGAAAAATGGCTTCATGTGTACATCTTTCCTCTGTGTTTTTAAATACAATAACATTAACAAGTGGCAGTGTTGTTGCATCTCTTTACGATGCAAACATAAGGATGCTTACTCAGAGGTAAATGCCCCTGAATATCATAGAACCACTTATTTGTAAGTATACTTACTATTGGGAGCTAGACTTTCCCAGGGCAGGAGTGCTGATTTTGTAAATAACCAACTGTCAATAGCACTAAGCGTGAGATATACGAAGCGAGGTGTCCATTAAGTTGTGTAAAGCTGAGAAGAAGAATTACCTTATTTAAACTTAAGAAGCTGTAAGAAAGGACTATACACTTATGTTACAGAGGGCTGTCAACTGATTTAATTGGCTATATTTCACAGTGCAATAAAGATACTTATGTAGCTGTGCCCTATCAAATGTCTGGGTAGCTTCTACTACTTCAGAAGCTTCAAATTGGCTAAAGGAGGAATGGATTTAAACAAAGTCATTGGTCCCAATAGTATCCCAGGTAAATAACAAATAGTTTGCTAGCCCCCTTTTTTTAGTGACCCAAAAATACCCCCAGATAAACTTGCTGTCTCCTAATTATGCTCATAAAACTTCAGAATGTGAGGATTATTTAAGTGATTGATTTGGTGCCCTTTGAAACACACACTAGAAACATTGTTGAATCTATTCCCGTTGCATTTCTGAAATCATTCACGTGGAGGCTTTTGTTTCACAGAGACACAGATAAATAGTCAAAGTTACAGGACGTTAAATTTGGCACAGCTGCAGATGGTGTGTAATGATAGCGATAGCTGCATTTGTTGGTTTGGCACGTAGCTGATACCAAGGTGTTCAGTTGCGTATACGTGATATAAGCTACTGCCAATTTACATGTCATTGCAATGCCATTCCCTTTTTCTGGCTGTTAGCTATAGGGGCAAGGCACCATAAATCAGATCAGGTTTCATTATACATTTACCTAAATCTTATAAGAAACAGAAATGCAAAGTCTTTCATACTTTTGCCCCCAGTTTTCTATGTATATCATCTTTCTGTGTTTAAGGATCTTATAGTAATTGATGAACCTTTATGGCCTTCATTAAAATATTACAGCTTGGTGTACTTTCTAAGGCACAGAAAATCACCACAATTCCTATTAGTACTAAATAGAATAATCTCATGCTAATGGAGATGGAGGGAAAAATGGAAGATATCCTATATTCAGGGATAACTCCACAAAGAAAAAGGATAGAAAACAGTCTTAACAAAAACATAAAGGGAAGAGATATTTCAGTAATAACACAGTGGCATGAAATGTTGATAGGCTGAGAGAAAGGGAGAACTGACAATCAAATTAAAGAAGGAATGGTATGGAGTGATAGTGGAAAAAAGGGAGAAAAAGTGGATAGAGGTGGCATGGAATAGAATGATGGGGGGGGGGGGGAACCAGGAAATAGGAGACTAGAATGAGAGACAGAAGAGATGTGCACAAATAGAAATTAGAAACAAACATCATGATCTTTGGTAGGTCACTTCCTAGTTCACTGTAAAAAGTTTCTTTAAAAGTCTCCAAAACTGACCTGAAGCTGCTGTCACAAATAGAGAAATAAAAAAATTTAGTCTAATTAGGATTGAAGACAAGGATGCCAGGAATGAGTTGAATCTGCTCATTACAGTTATAAACAAACAAAGCCATGTTCTGATTAGAATTGGCTGCAAGGCTGGCCATTTGTATCCCCAGAAAATCAGACCAGCATACGTAGTGAGCATATAATGTTGATTTTTGGAGGAGGGGAAGGATGAACAATGGAATTAAGTGGGTAGAACACTGAATGTGAAAACTCCACATTGCA